TGTGTGCTCTCTGAAGAGAGGAGGAGAGAGAAGGAAAGTGATAAAGCATGGAGGATGGCCAAGCCGCATCCCTTCTCCATTTCTCCTTTTGGGATTCTGGGCACACATGCACATGCATCCAACATGTTTATCAAACTGCTGGGTTTGAGATCCAAAGCTGATAGAGGGCGAGAGAGAGAGAGAGAGACAGATAGACAGATTCAGACAGGAGGGGAGACAGTGAGAGAAAGAGACCTTTCTCAGGGTCTGGTCAAGCTATAATTGCATTCTTCCAATCCTCCAGCCCATCGGACCTTGGGTATTTGCACATGTGCCCATGTATTTCAGGCTTACCAGTGTGGGAATTTAACCTGCAGCCCCCATGTAATATATGACTTCTCTTAAGCAGTGTATTACACCTCACCACTGAGCAAGCCCTGATGAGGAGACAGCTGAGCAAAGACATATTTACAAAGGGGAAGGGCTGAGTCTTATTGCTATAGGATAAGGATTTGTTCTAGGAAGCAGCAGTGCGAAAACCCATAAGAGGAGGGGCCAATGCAATTAGAGTCAGCCAAGCAAAAATGAAAGGTGCAGAGATACAGCCAGCAGAAATTTGATGCAGGGGCAGTACATACAGTCTTGAGGCCAATGTGAAAGCTTCAATTTTCACTCTGAGCACTGAGAATAACTGCCTTCATTTATAACTTAAGTTTTCCTTTGAAAAATAGCTCTATAAACCATACTATCTCATGAAATTAATACGGTATCAAAATTAGTTTTAAAAGACAAGTTGGAAAAGTTTTTTCTTTTTAAGTTTTTGCTATAGGGCCCGTGTGTTCGCAAAAGAGAGAAGGAAAGTAAGAAATCACCCCCCTCACCCCCCCAGGAGAGGTGGCCACGCTGCAATCCCTTCCCCTCCATCCTCCTCTTGTGACTGTGGGTATGCACACACACGCACCCAGTGTGGTTTTCAAGCCACTGGGTTTGGAACTTGAACCACAGTCAGCCATGTGGGAATCCAGCACCTAAACACTATGCCACCTGCTGGCCCCCAAATAGCTTTTCAAACATGTACAAGGGCTAGGTTTTAAAGCTATTGTCAGATGGTTTGTGTGCCTGGTCGAGTGGAGGCAGGAAGCACCTTCCGATGAGGTGTGGCCATGCTGCAATCCCCGCTCCACGCCCCTCTGTTGTGACCGCACACAGTACAAGCACCTGCTGGGGCTCTCAAGCTGCTAGGGCCGGGACTCAAAGCACACAGCTGGCCATGCTGAGCCCCACTCCCTTGACCACCAGGCTACAGGGCCAGTACGACCATGGTTAACCTTTTCACACGGTTTTTCTTTATTCAGAAGATGCTAAGTGTTCTGTCTAGTGTTATTTCAGAGACAGCACCTGACACGATCACTCACGGGGCTCATGTGACTATGGCATGAAGACTAAGAAGGCGGCTCTCTACCACTAAAAGTCCTTGCTATTAATACGCACGTTTAAGTCAGCTTTACCTAGCTGACTGCTTCACCTAGGTGTAAAAATTAAAAGGAGGGAGAAAACCCCTCCCCGTTTAATCATATGAAATGTTTATGACAAAATGAAAATACATACAATTCTGTGTTCAAATAAAATGCAAGAGTAGGGTTCTTATCCCAAGTTCCAGGCATCAAATTAATCTGAACTGAACAATTACTAGCATACGTATTATTCTCTTTTGCCAGAGGGCATATAGTGAGAGAGAGACAGAGAGAGAGAGAGAGAACCTCTAGCAGGGCACAGGATCATGCCACAGTCCAGGCATTTGGGCCCGTATGTGAAGATACCCAGCGTCTTCCAACTAGCAGGGATGGGATTCAAACCCGTCAGTTATGTAGGATCTGGCTCTCTACACACAGCACTTAAATGCTGTGCTATGGGGTCAGACCCGATTTCTTTTATTTTCCCTCTTTTTTAGAGAGATTTTTGCTATAGGGCGTGGTTGCTCACTGGAGAGACAGAGAGAAACATCCCCCAGGGGGGATGGTCATGCCACAAACCCTTCTCCTCTATGGATTTTGGCCTCACACGTAAATGCGTCCAACATGAGTTTTAAACTGCTGGGTCCAGGATTTGAACTGCAGTCGACTACATGGGAGTCCTCCAGCAATGAAACCATTATGCTATCTGCTGGTCCCCAGACCCTACTATTTTTTTTTTATTTTAGTTTTTTATTATTACTTTATATATTCAATAACTGTACATCACTATAGGTTGTAAAATGAATTACCCAACATGAATACACTTCGCACAAGTCCAGTTAAGGTATCATACACACTATTGGGGCCGGCAGGTGGCATGCTGGTTAGTGGTGCCGGATTCCCACACGGCCGACTGTGGATCGAGTCCCAAACCTGATGGCTTGCTTTATCATTTTCACTTTCTCTCTCTCTCTGATCAAATTAAGAAAATAGTAATAATAACAAATGGAATTAAATAAATAAATAAATAAATAATTCGTTAAGAAAGAAAAACGAAGATATCATACACATTATCGTCAACAGATAATCTTCCATTTCTGTGTCCCCTAAATGTCTTCCCTATTTTTCTCCTTGATTCCTCTCCTCTTACTCTCCCCCACGTCCCATCTTCTCACACTGTCTCTGATGCCCTTAACCATTCTCCAGGCTTCTATACCCGCTAATATCTGTTTCTATCACAGAGTGCAGGCAGCTGGTGTACATTAAGTGGACACATACAATGTCCCTCCCTCATAGCCTGACTTGCTTCACTCGACAGAACAATCGTCCATATTCGTCCACTTTCTTTCAAGTGTCAGGGTCTTCTTGTTTTATTATGGCTGAGTAGTATTCCACAGAGTGTATGTGCCACACTTTTTCAATCATTCATCTGTTCATGGACATGTGGGTTGGTTCCACATCCTAGCAATTGTTAATAATGCCACAATAAACATAGATGTGCAAGCACTTTTCCGACTGAGTGTTCTCCTATCCTTTCGATAGATACTCAGGAGTGGAACAGCTGGATTATATGGTAGCTCTATTTGTAGATCTTTGAGAAGCCTCCACACTGAACTCCACAGTGGCTGTACTAATTTACATTCCCACCAACAGTGTAGGAGAATTCCCTTTTCACCACAGCCTTGCCAGCAAGTATCTTTTCTTTTTTAAATCTGAGCCATTCTGACTGGGGTTAGGCAGTATCTCATTGTGGTTTTGATTTGCATCTCCCTTCTGATGAGGAATGTTGAGTATTTTTTCATAGCTTTTTGGCTGTTAGTATGTCTTCCTTAGAGAGTTATTTGTTCAGCTCATTTTCCCATCTTTTAATTGGGTTGATCTTTTTTTTTTTTTAGGTAAGTTGCTTCAGTTTCTTGTATATTCTATTTATTAGCCCCTTATCTGAGGCATAGTTTACAAAATAGTCTCCCATTCCAAGGGTTGTCTATTCACACTAATTACTACTGTGTCTTTTTGCTGTGCAGAAACTCTTAATCTAATGTAATCCCACTTGTCTATTTTTGGGATTACTGCTGTTGCTTTAGGGATCTAATTTAGGAAGTCTTTGCCCATTTTGATGTCTCCCAGACTTTCCCCAGTGTTTTCCAGCAATAGTTTTAAAGTTTGAGGTCTTAGATCCACTTTGAGTTGATTTTTGTTAATGGTGAGAGATAGGGGTCCAGATTCATCTTTCTGAAAGTGGATACCGAATTTTTCTAGCACCATTTGATAAAGAGATTTTCTTTTTCCCACTGGATTGACTAGTGCCCTTTGTCACAAATCAGTTGGCTGTATGTTTTGGGGTCTCTATTCTGTTCCATTGGTTCACATGTCTGTTTTTGTACCAATACCATGCTGTTTTGATTATTGCAACTTTGTAATGTATGTTGGGGGTCAGAACCTGAGATGCCTCTTCCTCCACTCTTCTTGCACAGGATTGCTTTGGCCAGTATGGGGTCTTTTATAATTCCAGACAAATTCTATGATTGTCTTTCTAGATTTGTGAAGAACATCTCTGTAATTTGACTGGGACTGTGTTAAATATGTAGTTTAATTTTAACTGCATTAAATATGTAGATTAATTAATTTGGGTAGAATTGCCATCTTGGTCAGGGAGGTCTCTGGATGTAAATCTGAATCTTTCCCATGTGGGTCAGCCATGCAAAGTGAGGCTGCTGTACCATCATCCCGTCCTTACGTTTGGGCTATTACTTAAGGGGATCTTTCTCAAATTTCAACGTCTCTCTCTCGGTCATTCTTCTCTCAAATATTAAGGAAATGGTAAAGCTTTTCCAGTTTCATTACGCACCTATCTGTGCAATCCCATGCTTCCTGTCCCAGTAAATACTACAATAATCTGGCAATAACAGAGACATTTCCAAGCCCTGACTGACTGTTTTAGGACCACAGACAGTCTGGTAACAACAGGAATTACTCTATAAGAGAACAATTTATAGTATTACTTCATATTGTAAAGACATTTACAGGCGCACAAAAAAATTAGATATAAGCTATTTAAAGATAAAAATCCTGCTGTCACTGCTACCAAAATCTATCTACAATCAGGCTACTTCTTATTACCCTGACTGCTGCATTAGGTCTGAGCCACCGTCACTTCCCCCTTGGAGAACTGCAACTGGGTCCCAGTCATCCCACGTTCAATGAGGCCTACTCTAAACCCTCTACATGATAACCTATCGGACGCAGACCCCACCCCCATTATCCTGATCTTTCTCTTTCATTTTTCCATAGCACTCAGTGTGTTTTAGCATACGGAACGTCCACTCATATGTAATGCCTGCTTCTCTTTATCAGTGTACGAGCTCCACAAGGATAGTGTGTTTGCTATGTTCTTAAAGTACTCTAAGCACCCGGAATAGGATATGTGATCAGCATGTGCAAAATAAATAAGTCTCACCTTATAAACAATATGAAGATCTAGGTCATGCAGGAAGTAGTTAATTATGTTTGAGAAACTCTGATTATGACAACATAAATAATGTTCTTACTACACAGGCACTACCATACCAGATAAAATGAGCAGTTCAATCATTTCTGCATCTCCAAGGTAGGCAGCAGCATGCAACGGGGTTCTCTTTTCATTGTCCTGTGATGAGAAATAAAGACAGAATGTAAAGTTTTAAATAAGGTCAATTTTACTATAGTTTATATGAAGAAAAAAACATTATTAACTGTCAACTTATTAATTCCACAACTCTAGCTTAGTCTGAGAGTCCTATTAATAAAACACAGGGTATTACTTTACTAGGAGACTTTTAGGCTTAACAATTTTTTCACCTTAAAATAGCAGTATAAAGTGTAGCAAGGAATAAAAATAAAAATCAAAGATGACAGGGTTGGCCCTGTAGCCTCGTGGCTGGGGGAGCCAGAACTCACCTGGCCAACCACATTTCAAATCCCCATAACCAGCAGCTTCAAAACCATGCTGGGCAAGTGTACCTGTGACCAGAATCCCAACAGGGTGGGGAGTGGAGGGGGTGGGACTGTGGCAGGACCACGCCCCCCCGGGGGGGGCTTTCCTCTTCCTGCCCCGCCCCTTGCTCTCTTTAGTGAACACACAGGCTCTCTGGAAGAGAGGAGGGGAGGGAGAAAGGAAGGGAGGGAGGATCTAAGAGGCCAAAGAAACAGATTCTTAGAGCTTCTTCGAATGATTATCTACCTTGCTGATACACACCGCAAATTTCTTTTACTTCCTACCCTCTTTTTGTTTTTGCTAGTACATTTCCACAATTTTGTACTTTAGAACCACTGACCTAATTAAACAAGACAAAACTTAACAAACCAAAAGGTTTGATTATCAAATTGTTCCCACAGGAGTACCCTAGTAGGGGAAAGAAAGTATCTCCAGGGTTTTGAAATTAACTCGAAAGCAATTTTAGTGTTTTTCTTGACATCCTACCAGTTTTGCTTTCCGCTCCTAAACATATCCATGTCTGTTTTAGTACAAAAAGTGCGTATTCCTCCAGGGCTGGCTCAGAGGTAGCACTCTGATCGAGTGATGCACAGCTGAATTCCCTGGGCAACCTGCACATGCCATGCATACAGCTGGGACCCCGGCCAGCTGGGAAGGCTGGGGCGAGAGGGACCGTGCTGTGAGCCCGTCAAGAATTCTTGTTTTCCTTCCTGTCTTATGCTCTCCCACCCTCTCTCCTACACTTCCTCTGTCCCACTCTCACAGAGAAAATTTTTTAAGTCTCCTCCGCTCCCCACCCAGCAAGCAGGAAGGACCCCTAACACGCGATCATGCCTTCAGCCAGCCTCAGACCCCTTGCCAGGTGAACCTGGTGCACACAGAGGCTCTGACGCTCACCTGGAAGCTGTCCACGTGGGCCACGTTTGCCATAGGCACAGAAAGTAAAGACAAGAAAAAACCATATCCCCCAAATCTCCCTCCAGGAAGAGAAGCTCTATTAAGGCATCACTTCGTACACCTCTTTCACAAAAACAACACTGCTGTCCAGTTTGAGAAGCAAGGTCTTAGGGTCACATTCAGACTGTTACCTCGTACTACACGCCTGTTGAAAGTTACGGCAGTATTGCTGAACTGGCTGCATTTGAGAAAACGACTTATGTACAAATACTTATTTTGAAAGTTACACTCAATTTTTTTCAACAATGGCTTTTGTGAAAGATTGTCAGTTTTTTCCATTTTGTTCTCCTCTTTGCACGAAAAAAATTTAGTCAACTGATTGATGAATTATTGCCAGAGGGCATGTGTGCTCACCAGAGAAAGCACCCGTCGTGGGGTGTCATCATGCCGCAATCCTTTCTTCCTGTTCCTCCTCCCCATCAGGACTTTAGGCACACATGAGCCCAGAGTGTTTTCAGGCTGCTGGAGATGGGATTCGAACTGCAGCTGGTCACGTGGGACCCAGCTTCCAATGCACATCAGCCACTCCTCCATGGACTCAGCCCAGGGATTATGTTCTAGCGAGCAGTGACAATGCACTCTGTCCCCCGGAAGTCGCGCCACTTCACTGTGGTGGCAGGTAAGGGGCACGACTTCCAGGTCGTCTTTAACTCCCAGACCACCACCACACAGCCGCAGGAACAGTCCCCCACTGCCCGCAGACTCGAAGGCAGGCATGAAACCGAAGAGCTTTAACCACGCAGGTGTGGGCCAGTCTCCAACACCTTACATGACAGTCACTCTACCAGCCCGGACCACTATCTCCTAGAAAATGAATTAAACTGAAAAACTTACTTCATTCTGTAATAATTTCCTAGTTACTCTGGGAAAGGGCAGTTTGGCCCGAGACTGGACGAGGAGAATAAGGGGTTCGATGTCCGTATGCAACCCAGGAAAGGCTGAGCTGCAGCATACAAAGGTATTACAGAGGTGTGGCATGGCTACCACTGACCTCCTCATACATCAGACACACTTACCTTTATAATCTTAACCCATCTGGGCCACCATCTTTATCCTTACAGTAGTACAGGACCTCTAGAAAGGCTGGGATAGTGGCTATTAGTGTTAAATTGGTTAGTGACTCAGGGTTCTTGTCTGACCATAATTAGTGTCCACAAGACCATGTTTTTATTCCAATATATACCCCAGAAAATAGAGCGCTGGCCACAAAAATTAGTCAAGGGTCCCTGAAAAGCTAACAGACCAACTAAAGTATCAGAATGTATTCAAAGCTAGTTAGTCGCTTTTAAAGGACCTAGGTCGGCCTGGTGGCACTGTGGCGAGTGCTGCGCGGGTGATGCGGACTGAAGGTTCGGCTCCCCGGGGGCCCCGTACACACTGGACGCTTATGCCCCTGACTCTGGGTGGCTGGGAAGGCTGGGGCGGGCACGCAGTGAGAGAGACCCTTTTGAGGGTGCTTGTCTCTTTTACAAGCCCACTGTAATGAAAGAAATGAATGCTAAAAAGTACAGCCCCTCTGCCTAGCCTTTTCAGGGTCATTCCTTAGCACAGCTAACGCCCCTCGTGTTGACATACGATTAGATCTATCGGACTGGAAACGTTATCACTCAGGATAAGCTGCACCAGCACAATGACACAGCAGAGAGTCATCTGTGTGTGAGCAATGGCTAGAATTCTCTGACTGCCTCGAGTCCTGTTAATACATATTATGAATGTCGTTTTTACTTTCTGCAAATCCAATAGAAGAAAAAGGGCAAAACAAGTGGTTAATTATTTTTTGTTATTTATTTTTTTGGAGAGGTTTTTGCTATAGGGCGTGTGTGCTTGCCAGAAAGACAGAGAGAGACAGAGAGACAGAAAGTGAGAAATCACTCCCCAGGGGGGATGGCCACGTCACAATCTCAGTTTAAGCTGGGATGTTGAGGCACGCACGCACACGCGCCCGGTGTGAGTTTAAGCCACTGGGTCCAGGATTCGAACCATGGTCGACTACATGCGAGTCCAGCAACACAGCCATTACTCCAACAGTTCCAAAAACTGGTTAATTTTAAAAGAAAAATTTATACTCTCCCATTTTACTTTCATAAATTAAACACTGAAAATTAGGCAATGAAATATGTAAGATTCAGTTCAACAAAATGTATTAAAGTCCTTTTTAAGGACTTTTTTAAAAAATGAAGATATTCCTACATGGGTACAGACAAAATAACAAAATATGTTTATTTATTCATTGTAGAACACAAAGCACTGAGAACAATCAGAGTGCTACCAAACGGCTATCTGAAGTTATAGAACACGGGAAGTTCTTCATCACCTTCTACTTAACTGACACAGGGTTAACCAAACGTTTTAGTTTCTTGAGTAAAAGTAACAATGACCTTGCAACATGAAGCGCTCTGACCAGCAGCCCACGGGGGTAGGCGCACACACCCACCTCTGCCTTTAGGACTGGCAATGCTCGTCCACAGTGACACACGCTGTTTGCCACAACTGTGCCGCTGTACCTGCCACCACCACGACAAGGAGGACACCAGAGAGCCCAGGCACAGACGCAAGAGCAGAGAGAGAGGCGGGGAACCTTCCCTGACGTGGCCTTGTTCTGTTTTTCTCCACTTCTCCATCCTGTGAGGGTCCTGGACTTGCGTGACCCACGAGTTTTTCAAGCTGTGGGGGCCAGGGTGCTGACCACAGCTGGCCACGCGGGCTCCCTCTGCCTGTGTTTCACTGCTTTACCAGGGGGCTGGCCCTGATTTAGATAAACAGCATTTAAAATGATAAAGTAGGATTGAAAAAACAATTGTCCCTATGTTCACAAAGTTGAAGTTATTTCTTTTTTCTTTTAAAGACTTATTTATCTTTCTTTCTTTCTTTGAATTTGACCAGAGAATGGGGGTTGGGGGAGAAACAGACAGACAGACAGAATGCGAGAAAGCAAGTAGCCAGGTCCGGGACTCAAACCATGGTCAGCTATGTGGGAGTCTAGTGTCCTTAACCACCACGCCATCTGCCAGCCCCAAGCTGAAGTGTTCTATGATCACGAAGTTGAACACTAAAGAAAAACTCAACAATGGCAAGCTACAAAAAGACAGCAATATTATTAGGTATGGTGAAACGATGAGAAATGCTAATGCAATCAACAAACAGTAAAAACTGCAAAGGTTTTGCCTTAAGATTATTTAAGGGTCTAACTTCTCGCATCTCTTGAGGAAACACACTGGAAGTTACCGATGACATGTGAGGACAGACTAAGCGAGGAGGATGACACTGGGCTCCTGTCAGGGGAGACAGGAGAGCCAAAGAGAAAGCCGTGGCCTGATTTCAAAGAACTAGCTGGTGAACCTCCACTGTCACAGTCCCACGCTCAGGGACCACACTCGTGACCCCCGACTCTCACTTAGAACACTGCAGACCAGGTTTTCCAGCCGGACGGCTGTGCGGTGAGCGGACGGCTGCTGTACCCCTGCTCTGCACCCCAGGTCCCACCAAACGCAGTGCAGCAGGCCACGCTGATGGTCACAACACGGGGAAGACCGCTCCTGAAGGCTGAGTTGCTAAACAAGTTCATCTGTAACATTTTAGTTTTCACTTATATCTGACGCTAACCTTTCTTGTAAGTAACCTAGCGACAATTTAAAACAGGTGGCAGGGCATGCACAGGCCGAATGCAAGGACTTTGCTGTTATAGAAGGGACCTGACCCTCCTTGACTTTTAGTAT